ATCTAATTAATTTAGAAGAAGAATTATACCTAGCTATTGATTAGTACTTAAATTTTTTGACCATGAATAATTTAAGTGCTCCGGTTCCTCAGATCGCCGAGAATCTTTCAATAATAATAATACTTATCTTACATCTAGGATAAATTTTATTTTTGCCCACTGAACTTTAATCTCTTTGTCACTCTATCCCTCATACTTTGAAAATTAGCTTAGCACCCCCTGAACTTTGAAACGTTATTCAGTTTGCCCTTTCTGTTTATTTGACTAAGTGATTTGATGACGTAGCAATTATTGTAGGGGTAGTTTAATGAATTATTTGCATAAATGCTTTTTGAAGTATGTATCATATTTCAAAATGCCCCATGATCTATCAAAACACATCAAAATGCCCCTAATCTTTGGGAAACATAATACAACAACAATTTTATTGATGTGGCATGTCATTAAAAATTAATTATACATTAAATTGTAATTGAATAGCTAAAAGTAATTAAATAATAAAAAATAAATTTAATGAAAAATAAATATAAAAATGCGTCACTTCAAAAAATGCAAAAATTAAATAAGTAAACTATTTTTTTTTCAAAAATCAAAACCCTTTTTTTTTTTTTGAAAAACGTTATACCTCTTGAGCTCTCAAAGTGCATATCAAAACACATTTTTTCCTTAAAAGAGGAATTTTTTAATTTTCGAATTGTCTTTTGGGTTTTTAAATTTTTTTTTTTTAAAATTAGTTGATATCGCATGCTATTAAAAATTCAAAAAATCCAAAAGGCAAGAAAAAAATTTCGAAAAAAAAGGATAAAAAACCTTCTTCCTCTTCAAGCATCAAAAAACCTTCTTCCTCTTTAAGTGAAAAAATTTGTTTTAATTTGCACTTCAAGAGCTGAAGAGGATGAAGGTTTGTCAATTTTTTTTTCCTCTTTTCTTTTGGGTTTTTTAATTTTTGAAAAACAAAATTATTTAATTTTTAAATTTTTTGAAGTGAAGCATTTTTATATTTTTTAGATTTTTTAATATTTAATCACTTTTAATGATTCAATTAGAATTTAATGTCTAATTAATTTTTAATGACATGCGAGATCAGTAAAACTGTTATTTTATTATGTTTTCAAAGATTAGGGGTATTTTGATGTGTTTTGGTAGATCTTGAGGTATTTTGAAATATGATACATACTTCATGGGGTGTTTATGTAAATAATTCATTAAACTAACCCTCTAATTATTGCCATGTCATCAAAACTGTTAGTTAAATTAACAGAAGGGGCAAACTTAATGATGTTTTAAAGTTCAGGCGGTGCGTAGCCTAATTTTTAAAGTTTAGAGAGCAAAGTGATAAAGAGATTAAAGTTTGGAGGGTAAAAATAAAATTTATCCTATATCGTATTACTAACACACACACAAAAAATCGATTCTATCATTTTTTTATGACGTGAACTGAGAAATAACATCAAGTGAAACTAAAGCACATCTAACACAATAAAAATGTGTGTTCTACATAATATACAGTCGTCTTTCAATTATTGTGGAATGCATAATATTAACATGAAAATTCAAAACTACCAAAAAAAAAATAATAATAATAATAAAAGAAACGTGAAAAATATTATGCCTAAATTTCACGTTTTAACTGCTGAACAAAACGTTCTCAATTGATCATTATAACCCAACTTGGCTAGCTGTGCAGTTATGCATATAATATAACAGAAAAGGCGCATTAATGACAATATAACTTGTGCTAGCTTGAGATAATGGCCTACTTAATTATATTTTAAGGAAAACTAACTGAAACTTATATATATTTTCAGAATTATTCATTCCAATTAAAAAAAAAAGCTTTCTGAAAAATTACGTGGCTTAGAAAATGGCAGCTTACCCATTGTAACCTACAAATTGTATAAAAGTTTGAGATGTTGAAATCTACCTAGAGATATTAACTTATAACGAATACATTAATCTAATTAATTTAGAAGAAGAATTATACCTAGCGATTGATTAGTACTTGAATTTTTTGACCATGAATAATTTAAGTGTTCCAGTTCCCTAGATCACCGAGAATCTTTCGATAATAATTATTATTATCTTACATCTCAGGATAAATTTTATTTTTGCCTACTGAACTTTAATCTCTTTGTCACTCTGTCCCTCATACTTTGAAAATTGGTCTTAGCACCCCATGAACTTTGAAACGTTATTCATTTTGCCCCGTTTGTTTATTTGACTAACTGATTTGATGACGTGGCAATTATTGTAGGGGTAGTTTAATGAATTATTTACATAAATACTTCCTGAAGTAAGTATCATTTTTTAAAATGCCCCATGATCTATCAAAACACGTCAAAATGCCCCTAATCTTTGGAAAACATAATAAAACAATGATTTTATTGATGTGGCATGTCATTAAAAATTAGTTAGACATTAAATTCTAATTGAATCGTTAAAAGTGATTAAATAATAAAAAAATAAATTTAATGAAAAATAAATATAAAAAATCTTCACTTCAAAAAATGTAAAAATTAAATAAGTAAACTACTTTTTTGTTTTTCACAAAACAAAACCCAATTTTTTTGGAAAAAAAAAAAAAAAACGTTATTCCACTTGAGCTCTAAAAGTGCATATCAAAACACATTTTTTCCTTAAAAGAGGAATTATTTAATTTTTGAATTGTCTCTAGGGTTTTCAATTTTAAAAAAAAAATAGTTGATATCACATGCTATTAAAAATTCAAAAAATTCAAAAGACAAGAAAAAAAATTTCAAAAAAAAAAAAGGATAAAAAAACCTTCTTCCTCTTCAAGTATCAAAAAACCTTCTTCCTCTTTAAGTGAAAAAATTTGTTTTAATTTGCACTTCAAGAGCTGAAGAGGATGAAGGTTTTTCAATTTTTTTTTCCTCTTTTCTTTTGGGTTTTTTAATTTTTAAAAAATAAAATTATTTAATTTTTGAATTTTTTGAAGTGAAGTATTTTTATATTTTTTAATATTTAATCACTTTTAATGATTCAATTAGAATTTAATGTCTAATTAATTTTTAATGACATGCGAGATCAACAAAACTGTTATTTTATTATGTTTCCAAAAAGATTAGGGGTATTTTGATGTGTTTTGGTAGATCTTGAGGTATTTTGAAATATGATACATACTTCAAGGAGTATTTATTTAAATAATTCATTAAACTAACCCTCTAATTATTACCATGTCATCAAATCTGTTAGTCAAATTAACAGAAGAGGCAAACTTAATGACGTTTCAAAGTTCAGGCGGTGCACAGACTAATTTTCAAAGTTCAGAAAGAAAAGTGTTAAAGGGATTAAAGTTTGGAGGATAAAAATAAAATTTATCCTATATCGTATTACTAACACACACACACACAAAAATCGATTCTATCATTTTTTTATGACGTGAACTGAGAAATAACATCAAGTGAAACTAAAGCACATCTACCACAATAAAAATGTGTGTTCTACATAATATACAGTCTTCTTTCAATTATTGTGGAATGCATAATATTAACATGAAAATTCAAAACTACCAAAAAATAAATAAATAATAATAAAAAAAGAAATGGTACTTGTTGTGATGGCCCATGGTGCCTAATAGTTTATATCATGCTTGGTACACCGACTCATGGTGTGCTTGTGCTCACTGTTGTGTTTAGTCTTGCTAGCCTAACAACACGCTTAGCTTAAATATGGGAAAAAGTGACAAATACTGGTTAGAATGTATAAGTTTAAATTTTTTTACCCTTTCTTTTTTTTATTAATATCTTTTTTAGTCAAACAATTATGCCCCGTTTAGTTCGCAGGTTTGAATTTTGTTGATTTAAACTTTTTGATTTGAACAAAAAAATTCAAAATGTGTGGTTTAAATTGTAGTTTGAATTGACGTTTGTTGTGCAGTTAAAGTTTTAATTTGAGTATAGAATAAAATTCAAATTTGTGTTTGGTAGGTGTGAAAAGCAGAGAGTGTGCACCTTTTTACTGTTCAAAAATAATTTGAACAGTTGAACTTGAGAGGAGAGCTAAACTCTAAGCTTAACTGTTTAACTCAGTTCAAACAGAAAATATAATTCAAACTACATACTTACTAAACACCATATCAAACTGTGTTCACTGTTCAAACTGAGTTGAACGGAACTAAATCAATGAAAAAAACATATGTTATATTATTCAAAAGGGTATTCAAGAAGAGTGAGGGAAAAAAATCTAGTCATGCACTCTAAGAATACGTTTAACAATTTTCTCTTTAAAAATAAATGAAAATTTGTGTCGTGTCATGGTAGGCCTAAAATTTTTTGTCGTGTAATTTCTTATAATTCTTGAAAAAAGTTTTAGCTCGGCCATTTTTTTGCAGGAGTACAGAGCCAAATAAAACAAAAAGAAAAAGAAAAGAAAAACCTATGTAGAGGCAAAGATAAAAAATAAAATTTATCGGTTGGATGAGTGGGTGGAAGCAGTGCTCGGCCAGTTGGATACCCATGGATATTTATGAGTTCAGATCTCCCCTTAGGCCAACCAGTTTTTGATATTTCATTTACTTGTTTAAACAAATAATTATTGATGGGACAGTTAAAAAGGACAGGAAAATGGGACGGTATCAACTTTTTTTTTTCTTTTTCCATCATATACCCACGTTTTAAAAAAGAATCATTTCCCAAAGCTAACAAATGTAACCCTATAAATGCAACCCTATCCCATGTACAAAATATTACACTCGCTCCTCAAAGAGCATTTCTGCTAGTCATAATACATTTTCACCTAGCGCAGCATGGAGGGAACCGTCAATAATATTGTCACATGCGACAGTATCAAAAAGGCCATGCCATACCAAATCAACCAAAAAAGTTCTAAACTTTCTCTTGATCAGAACAACGACAATAATCTCTCAGCGTCGTTCGCACCAAAACAATGCAGCACAATTGGCCACCACCTTGCACGGCGGCTCGTGGAGGTCGGCGTGAAAGATGTGTTCTCGGTCCCCGGCGACTTCAACCTCGGTCTTCTCGATCATCTCGTCGCCGAACCGGGGCTCAACCTTGTTGGCTGCTGTAACGAGCTCAATGCGGGCTATGCAGCAGACGGCTACGCCAGGTCCCGCGGCGTTGCGGCCTGCGCGGTGACGTTCACCGTCGGCGGGCTCAGCATCTTGAATGCGATTGCCGGCGCATACAGTGATGATCTTCCGGTTATTTGCATAGTTGGTGGTCCGAACTCCAACGATTATGGGGCTAATAATATTCTTCATCACACCATTGGCTTACCGGATTTTAACCAAGAGCTCCGATGCTTCCAACCTATCACTTGTTACCAGGTAATTATTCACTTTTTGTCACGTTGCATCATTTTTTTTTTTTTCGTATTTGTGCTCTCTTTCATATTATTTCACGTGCTGTAGTTTTAAACTTTAGTGAAGTTGGTGGTCCTAACAAGTAAATTATTTGTACCAGGTTTACTTATTTTGCTACTGCTTTGTCTGTACGTCCCTTCCTGGCCAATTTAAATTATTGCCTTTCATTGACGTGATTCTAATTGACAAAACTACAAGAATAACCGATCTTTTTTATTATTCTATTATTTATGCTCTTAAAAATATTTTGGTAGAACATATGAGAGAAAACGAAAAATATCCTGCAAATATATATATATATATATATATATAGTGATTCTAATTGACAAAACTACAAGAATAACCGATCTTTTTTATTATTCTATTATTTATGCTCTTAAAAATATTTTGGTAGAACATATGAGAGAAAACGAAAAATATCCTGCAAATATATATATATATATATATATATTCGGATAGAGTTTCGTATCTTATTTACTTGATTGGAACAAATGTGGTTCTTAGTTGTTGACTTCTTATGTACGATTTGGACACCTCAAAAAAATATTTCCACATTCGAAGCATGTATAGTATATAATTGTAAGTCACATGACAAGCGTGAAAATTAAAATATACAAAGCCACACTATTCTGGGAAAACTTCAATATATATATATATATATATATATTGACCGCCCCAAAAAAAAAAAGCGTTACTTACATTGGTGAACTGACTTTTGTTTTTCATTGAAGTGTAGAGCGGCATACCCCATCCTACCTTCCTTCAGAACCCAATGCCGCTCTTCTTGTCTCCCAAGTATTTTCTTGATCACAAAAAATAAATAATAAGAGCCCGTTTAGTTGGAAGATTCGTTCCCTGATTCGAATCATAATTCATAGTTCGCTATAGTATTTTCTCTCACAAAAAACACACGTAAATCAAAAATGGTTCTAATCTATTAACTAAACGGGCTCTAAGTCAAGTACTTCTAATTATGCGAAGGAAAAAAAAACTATTTTCATGTCATCGTATTATTTTTAGATCCATTTTTCTTTTCATCTTACCAAACATAACTTAAAAGTGATCGTGATAAAAAGTATGCTAGCCTGAATAAAATTATTTCTAAGTTTTTTTTTTCATGCAGATTAAGCAATCAGATGGCTCTAGAACTCGCCGCAGAGGCGGCAGCAGAGTTCTTGAACAAGGCAACAAAACCAGTGATGGTGGGGGGACCAAAACTAAGACCTGCACGGGCTTCCAGTTCCTTTCTCGAGCTGGCGGAGGCGAGCGGTTACCCCATCGCAGTCATGCCGTCGGTGAAAGGATTCTTTCCGGAGAACCACCCTCACTTCATCGGTACTTATTGGGGCACGGTGAGCACTCCCTTCTGCGCCGAGACCGTGGAATCCTCCGACGCTTACCTCATTGCCGGGCCCGTTTTCAGCGACTGTACTTCGGTTGGTTACTCCCTCTTGCTTAAGAAAGAGAGAACGATTACTGTGCAGCCCCACAGTGTGACGATTGGAAATGGTCCGATATTTGGCTGCGTTGAAATGAAGGACTTTTTGAAAGCATTGGCAAACCGTGTTAAACGCAATGCATGTGCTTATGAGAGTTACAAAAGGATACGTGTGACGCAGGAAGTTTCTGTTAAATGTGATCCCAAGGAGGAAATAAAGGTCAGCGTTCTTTTCAACAACATAGAGAAAATGTTGTCTGGTGAGACAACTTTGATTGCTGAGACTGGGGTTCCCTGGTTCAGCTGCCAACAGTTGAAATTACCACAAGGATGCGGGTAAGTAAAGCAGATGCATGCACGTGGAAGAGATAACTCCTAATTGTTTGGAGGCACATCGGTACAAAACGCTATTAATAGAAAATAGAAAGTGGACCCTATTATAGACCCCATGCTGCAGAACGTCTCACTTCTTATTAGTGTGGTGTAATTAAACACTACCGGTACTTCGTAGCATGTGTTTATTTTTAAGTATACACAGTAGATGCACGTGGACTAATATGTACTTGATGAGTATCAGATAACTCCTAATCCGGTGCTCATCATTAAGCACAATATTAGTTCTTAGTGTAATCTAATTATGGACCCATTTAGTTCGTTGATTCGAGTTTTTAATTTGAATTGAGATTTAACTTTATATGAGAGTTTTTTACAGTAACAAAAAAATTAGATGTTACTGTTTCTGAGAGTTTTTTACTGTACAAAAACTCGAATTATAAATTTAAATTGGTGAAATGAACGGAATAGCTGCATCCCGTCCATAAATTCCAACTTAATTTGATGATCAAAGACAATATTCAAATGGGCATTTTCAGATGGCACGTAATAAATATAGTTATCAGGTATAGTAGTTTGAAATTTTGAGGTTTGAACACATATATATAACATGGAAGTTGTACTTGTGCAGGCTTGAACTTGAAATGCAATATGGATCAACCGGTTGGTCTGTGGGTGCGACTCTAGGGTATGCTCAGGCTGCGCCAAATAAGCGTGTGATTGCTTGTATAGGCGATGGGAGCTTCCAGGTATAAAACACTTGTTGGTATTATTACTATTGCCACTACCACTATTATTATTGTTGTTATATATATATATATATATATATATATCATGCACAATTAGTTGCCGAGATATCATTTTGTTATTATCATTCCCTTTAATATGAATAAACTAACAAACAAGGCAGTTCATGTTCTCTCTTTCTTTTTCTTTTTTTTTTCCCATTTTATAGAATGAAAGAAGGAATCCATTACAACAAAATCATTTGTGTGAAGGAACTTCTAATTGAAAGCAATAATGATTAGTTTGTGGAATGAATTATTGCCTTACCTGCATATTTCCAACTCATTTGATCCATTAACTCGTGAGTTTGAGTTGATGAAAATCAAAAGATGGGCTATGGGCCAGTTTAGCATTGTTTTGTTGTTGTTGTACTGTTTGTAGTAAGTTGTTGTGACCATAAATGTATAATGGTTTCGGCTAAGTACCTATCAGATCAGTGCAAATTATGGTAACATGACCATAATTTACGGCAACAAATAAAGTTGATTTTGTTACGTAACATTAATAATAACACGAGATTATAGTAATTGTAATATGAGAATAAATTATAACAATTTCATTATGAAGTTTTATTTGTGCTCAACGAGATTTGATGAAAATTAAAGGAAAACATTACAAATGAGAACTGTTACTAAACGCAAGTTAATTAATGTTTTAATTTTCGATGTAACGCTCATAACAATGACCTCACCGTAATAGTAAGTAAGATGGACCATATATATATACAATCCTTTGTTATATAAATGTTAACAAATGGACCCATATAATTGGTAATTCAACCATAATTTTTGCTTATTTCTATTAAATTTGCGTAGCATATTTTAGAAAGAAAATCATAATTTCATTTTACCTTCATGTGACATATACATGCATATGTTAACGTTGGCGTCCATTAATAAATTGGTCAAATTTTCTTGATAGATGACCGCTCAAGAGTTGTCAACTATGCTGCGTTGTGGGCAAACGAGCATTATATTTCTGATTAACAACGGGGGATACAGTATAGAAGCTGCCATACATGATGGTCCTTATAATGTGATCAAAAACTGGAATTACACCGGTTTGGTTGACGCAATTCACAATGGTGAAGGAAAATGCTGGACGACTAAGGTAAACTATATACATAAATATTTGTCTCTAGTAATTATGTATATTAGCAGTAATAATACAACTATATATAATAATTAGGGTTTTTTTTTTTCCATTGAGAGACTTGTAAATGTACTCTTTTGATGCTATTATTTGGAATTATATCCTGAGGATAGATAATAAAGTAATAGAGAAAAATTATTGAATACAACATGAGAAATGACACACACACATATAATCGTAGTAGTAGATACCAACATAGTAGTACAAGAAGAGAGGAGGCAAGGGGCGGAGCCACACCTTCTCGAGGTATAGGCGGCCGTCACTTGAAATTTTTTTTCTTTTAATTTCATAAGTACATTTTGTTAAAATTTGTGATTTATCCTCACTAAAAATCTGAAATTATATACGAAAATTATATATCGTCCCTCCTCGCATAATTTTCTGACTCCAGGGCTCCGCCCTTAAGAGAAGTAATAGCGACAGTAACAATGGTAAAAGAAGAATGAGAAAGGGAAGAAGAAGAGAGGATTCAATATAATAATCTGATTTCAGTAATTTTTTTGGCAATAGGTCACATGTGAGGAGGAACTTGTGGCAGCGATTGTAAGAGCAACAAGTGAAAAGAGGGACTGCTTGTGCTTTATAGAGGTGATTGTACACAAGCACGATACTAGCAAAGAGTTGCTCGAGTTGTGTTCAAGGATCTCTGCCGCCAGTATTCGCCCACCCAACCATATCTAGAGAATATAATTGTCCCTTTTTTTTCCAATACAGAAAGTGGGACAACACAAATAAAATGCGGTGTTTTACGCATTTGCCCCTATACTTGTATGGTTTAGTAATTTGCCATCCGAACTTTTTATATCAGTAAGTTGGCCTTTCAATTAGTAAAATTGTTATAATATGACCCATTTTAAAGATGACTGTGTTAAATTAGTGTCCAAAAACACGTTCGATGAAAAACTCCAACATCCTAATTCAAATGTAACACAAATCTTTTAATTTTTCAACTTTTAATCCCTTAAATATAATAAATACTTTGAGCAAATTTAATAAAATGGGGCACAATATTGCAATAATTTTACAAGTTCGGAAAGTTAATTGTCAAAATTTGAAAGTTTACCCAATAAAATTCTGCAAGATTCTTCAAAGTTTACCACATATAATAATATTGGTACCCCTAACATTTTGCCAACATTTTATAATTCAATGCAAATGAGTATATCCCTAATTGATATGTTATTTTCATTTTTTTAATAAATGATGTTATTTAAAAAAAAATGCTATATCTACTCTTTGTTATAATAATTAAGATTTGAAACTTGTTATAAGAGAACTTTGAAATTGTAAAGTAATTGGAAAGTGCGAATGATGTGATGATTAAATGAAACTCTCCATATTTTCTCTCCCTATTCTTCTACTTCCAACCAAATAAAGGATTCACCTCTCCCTCCACCACTCTCCCTCCACCCATCTTCCTCCCTCCATCTCTCCTTCGTAACAAACATACCTTAAGTATAACATATACTAAATTTAGTGTCAAGAATAACATTATATTAGAGACGGATTTTCCTATTCAACTGCTAAATTTTGACATTGACATACTAATTTAGTTTTGCACTATTATGCTCTCATTCTCAATCATGCATGACGATTTCTAAGATATGTATCTTTACTCTGTTTTTTTATATTTATTTATTTTTAAGGAAAGCTGTATTGTATACTTATGGACCTATTGATAAAATTTAGGATTATTCTCACTAGTGTTCCTAAATTTTAGGATTATTCTCACTAGTGTTCCTAAATTTTAAGGTCAGTCACAATTTACCCCCTGAATTTTAAATTATTCTTATTTAACCCATTTTGTTGTAATTTCTATTAAAATCAAACTGAAAAAGAAGGGGTTAACTGTGATTATGTAGTTTTTATATGTTTCTTTTTAACATAAATCCAAACAGAAAGACCACATGACTGGGTTATTCTCTCTTTTTTTTGTATATGTTTTTAAGAGAAATTGCAATATAAGAGGTTGAGTAGAAACAATTCAATATTTAAGAGATAAAGTAAAAGTTTTTAGAGTTTAGGAGATAAACTGAAAATAATTTTAAAATTCAGAAGGCATTAGTGATAATAATTCCAAAATTTATCCTAACAAAGTATATGCTTTTACTTGTTAAACAAAAGATGTAAAAGAATACCTAGCGGTATTGGTTGGACGAATTAGTCAAATTCAAGACAAATCTTCGTTGAGAGTCATCACAATGTTGTCGTATCACTGCAACACACGAAACGCATTCTTGTCATTGATGCATGATATACTATCCTATTAGGTATATACTAGTTTAATGCACTCAAAATTCTGTTAAAAAAATAAAATAAAATAAAATAATAGAAAAAAATAAATAAAAATTAATATATTAACTTTATTTGACCCATAAATCGTCTTAAATTTGTTTTGAAGGCAATACATATATAAATATTTAAAAAGTATATATTTTTTAATTACCTAAACATTGTCCATAGCTCTCCTAAATAATTTTTTCATATAGGGAAGCAACAAAAAAAGGATTTAAAAAGTGAGAAAACAAAAACTAAGACCAAAAGAGGTAAATAAAGAAGACGAAAAGATTAAAAAAAAAACAAAAAGAAAAAGAAAAAGGGGCTGGCACGAAGCATTTCGTCAGGTGGGGAAGAGGGTTTTAAAAAAAATTAGACAGCGATTGTACGAAAAGAAATTATTTCAATAGTTGAATTAGAGAGAGAAAAATTTATGAGAGTCGATTTGAAGAAAGTAAAAAAAAAAAAAAAAAGTAAAAATGTATAATAAGATAAAAAAGATAGAAATAAAAATAAAAAAGTGACAAAAAAAGGAGGAAAATATAAAAAGAGATGGAAAGTTTTTAAAAAAAAAAAGTGACAAAAAAACCGGTAACGAAACGTTTCATTGAGGAGAATATCAAATATAAAAACTTGATTAAGAATAACACCATATTGGGTGTTATTTAAATTACTCCATTTTGGGGTAAAATGAATCACATGAGATTGATATTCTTTGGAATATAAAAATCACAACTCTTATACTAAATATAGTAATATCTAAAGATTCTCATTCCCACTTAAAATTACTTCATACCAAACGCTCATTTAGTATGTAGGTAAGTAATAAGTAAATGGTATATTTTTTTACTGCTGGTATAAGAAAGTTGTGTTAGTGGGGGAGGAGAATTCGACAAACGGATTCTCTCTTATATAGGTAAGTAATAATGAAATGATAATGTTGCATTTTTTTTTTTTTTTTTTACCGCTGGTATAAGATTGTATTTGCTTATAATTATCAAGATACTAATAAATTAGCTCACAAGTTAATTACATTCACCCTTAAACTTGACGGTGAGCTTGTTTTGGTAAGTTCGAATCCCATATGTTGAAGCCATGATTTCTCTCAACAGTTGGTCATTTTTATGCTAGCAAAAAATAGATACATAAATAACCAATTTGCCTTGCAAACTAGAACATTAAATAAAAAATTAAAAAAAAAAATACAAACACACAACAATGCTATAAGAAAAATGCTTGAAAACTCCACTTATGTTAAGCATATGAATCACCTTTTATTAGTGGAGATCGATGCTCTTTAACATTGTTCATGCAATAAAAGAGAGATACCGAGAAAGCAAAAGCGTGAAGAGAACAAATTATCATTTAATTAATAAAGTTTGCTTTGAACTTTTAGTATTATTAATTCACAAACACATTAGATGTGCCTGATCAAAGCTCAAATCTTGCCACGTACAAATCTTGAACTTTGTAAGTCAAGTACTTAAAAGAGGTATAATCTGTAATTTTCTCTTTAATTAATATAGTTTTAAATACAAGTGTTTCATATTCTATGTTTGTCTTTTGGGTCAAATTCTATGATAAAAAATCCTTTGGTGCAATGAAATATATATATCACTTAGTTAATGCATGCCATGTCATTAGAATAAGAATTAAATATTATATGAAACTATATATGAAGAGACTTAATAAAGTGGCATGTGTTTTAGATTAATTCAATCAAGTATTTAAATTATGTCTCATAAGAATTTTTATTGATTTCATTATTTTAGAGTAATTTTCATGGTATCTTACTTATAGGACATTTTATATTATTAGTCTAGTCACACTAGAGTGAGTTTCATAGACATACATCCTATAGCATCATTTCCAGGTGTATAATCCAAAATCCATCTCTGATTCATTATGTGCCCGGAAACAGCCTTTTTTTTTTTGTCTCCTTTTCATTAGCTGAGAATCTTAGGACTTGAATTTTCTTCTGAGTTCAGTCATTTCTCTACTGCTCTTCTCTCTCTAGCCACGAGTTTGCATCATTATTGCTAATTCATGAAAGGGCTTAACTTAAGCTTCAGCCCAAGAAAAGTTTGAATAGGTTGTAATAGGCTACCGTGGCCCTTTTATAGGAGAAAGAAGCACGTAGCATAATTGAAGGGGTGATAAAAATCAAGGGCTTTTTTTTCAGTCCTTCCGGAAGAACCATCCTTCCAACGTTATTTGTAATTATAAAAATATAAAATGACAATTATTAAAGGTAAGCATTGACATTATAGATAAGTAAAATAGATGACTAAATTCTTTAGTGTTACTGATATGTTCAATAATTATCATGTTACGTTTTCATAATTATATGTTACGTTAGAGAGACCTTTCACTAGAAGGGCCGAAGAAAAGCCCATAAAAATTTACAACAGAAATTTAAAGGATCAGAAATTAGGGTTAATCCCACAAAAAGTCCCTGGGGTTTACTTTTCAATCGCATTTTGGTTCCTGACTTTTGAAATGTCTCACAGTTGGTCATTGAGGTTTTACTTATTTCAATTTTGGTCATTCTCTTAACTAAGTGCTAGATATTTGACAGTATTTGGGAAAATTAGCGACTTGAGAAATATCTAGAACTAAAGGACTAAAACAATACAAAAAAGTTTATTTCCACAAATAGTCGTAAACTTTAGCTATTTCTAATTTTGATCTCTAATTTACATAAATTATGTCAAATATTTAATACCTAGCTAATAGGAAAATTAAAACTAAACAGAGTAAAACCTCAGAGACTAACTATGAGACGTTTAAAAGTTAGAGACAAAAATAGGATTATGTGATATTAACCTTAGAAATTAATAGCATATCTTACCTCAAAAAATTTAAAATCTCAGAAATATCATTTGCACCACCTCTCTCTCCTTTGTTCCTTTCTCCTCTCTCTTCTTGGCTTCGTTCATTTCACCGATTTGAGTTTTCAGTTCTAAGTTTCTACAGTTAAAAGCTCTCAAAAAATGTCACATCTAACTTTTTCTGCTACAGTTAAAAGCTCTCAGAAAATGTCACATCTCAGTTTGAATTGAAAACTCGAATCCGCGAAGTGAACTAAGCCAACGTCTTTCTAGTAACTGCAACTGGAGAGAGAGAGAGAGAGAGAACATGTGAGAGAGAAAATTTTGGGATTAATTTCAAAATTTTTAGTGATTTTTTTAATTTAATTGTAATTATAATTAAAAATAAACGTAAAATAGAAAAAAAAAAAAAAACAAACAAACTTTTAAAATTCTACTACTTATTAACTAATTAAAATAATTATACTATTTATTATTCAAGTTTGAAAATCTGTCATACGTTGTATCCCCCCATGACTGGAACACCGCAGGTGAACTAGAGGAACACCATAGGTGAATCAGAGGAATACCATTTCTTCCCCCCCGATTTTAAGCTGGAATTTAAATATGTCATTGCTCTTAAAAATTAAAAAAAATTAAAAAAAATTAAAAAAACTAACTTTCATATTAAAATGGTAATACTTCTAGTTAGGAGATTATTGACCTAGTAAATAGAATATCTATTATTATTGGCTCTAAATATTTTTATTACTTTAATTGTTCACGGTAAAAATGCTATTTACTTCCTTTTTTTATTCTGATAAATGTTACTAGTAAACATGTCGTAAGTACATTACATGTGAAAAAAAAAAAAAAAAAAAGATTTAGCAGGACTATATGCATCCTTAACAAAAGTTACATTTCTGCCCCTGAGAATAATACCACATGGTGGTCGTCATAATACCAATAAGCCTCGCCAAGTGGGTATTGAAATTATCAAATGTGCAAAAAAATGGGAACCACGATGACGCTGAATAGAAACATAGGCTATGTTTGAAATTGGTTTTGTTTTTGTTTTTCACATTTTTTGAGAAAAAAATAAAAACGGGAGAGAAATGACGTTTGGCACAATTAAAGAAAAAACATAAATGAAAACGATTTTTTAAGTTAGTATAAAATGGGAGAAAAATAAAAAAATGACTTTTAATCGTTTTTCATTTTTTGTTTCTGTTTTCTCCTCTCTCGAGCACAGAGAAAGAGAGATATTAATGGATTTTTGTATATTAAAAATAATCTTTTGATAAAACTACCAAACGCATTTTTAAAAATGATTTATGTTTGAAATTAAAAAAAAATATTTTTATTTTCATTTTCATACAAAAAATAAAATCATTTTAGAACGAGTTCTAAATGTACCCATAAATTCTTATTCTTATACCCTGCAGTATTGCACTTTATATAAATGGAACTCCATGTTCTCATAATACATTAGGGTTCTTTGTGATTAAAAACAAAATATCATTCTAATACCCCGTGCTTGTTTTTTGTGACATAAAATTGAAGGCTATATACATGCCTTTAGTAACGCTTATAAGAAGCATCTCTCAATCTTATTCCTTTTTATACAAACTAAATTATCACAAACTGTCACAAGGTAGATCAGAGACGATTTACAAAAATACAAAAAAAAAAAAAAAAACAAGAAAACAAAAACAAAAACACACTACAAACATATCTTGAAAGTTGGAACTAAAAGTCCGTTCATTTCACCGATTTGAGTTTAGAATTCGAGTTTTACTATAGTAAAAAATTCTCAAAAACAGTCACATTTAATTTTTTTTACTACAGTAAAAAACTCACATAAAACCACATCTCAACTCAAATTAAAAACTTAAATCAATAAACTAAAAAGGCTCTAAATCTTTCCATTTTCTCCGGCTCGTCTTACCATAAGTACCTCGTTACTCTGATCAATTAAGCTTGACATGAGTAAGTTTCAGTATTTCCTTCTCCCAACCACGAATGCAGACGGTCAGTTTCGAGAAATAAACCTGCATACAACCAAGCAAGTACAATCTCAATGTCGAGACTAGATTCTAAACTAGGGTTTGGAATTTGTAGTTTTGAAAGAGGCATTATCAACACAGCAGGAAATTTATATCACACGTCAATGGCATCAAACTCAAAACATTCGTAATAGAAGTAAATGTTGCACTAAGCATTCATCAATGTACTGCAAACACTACAATCATTGGTATGGTGTCTGAAAGTTCAAATAAACAATTGCAAAGAATTCCTATTTGGTGAGGGGGGAAAAAAAAGGAAAAATTAACGGGTGAAAATGTAAAGTGAGAGAGCCAACTCTGCCGTTGTTAGATTACAGAGAAACATTGGAGGTCCTCGGCCATAAAATTCTCTTTTTTTTCTTCCTTTTAGGAGTGTCCTCTGCCACAATTAGATATACAATAAACCATTAATTTTCCGCTGGAACAGTTGAAAGAAAAAAAAAATTGTGAATATCTATAATTGAACAATGAAATAAAGTTCTCTCTCTTCTTTTCGCCTTTCCATTTCTCGGTGAAAGGCTGGGTGGGAGGAAGTGGGCCATGCCGACCATCGTTTCCAAATATCAGAATCTGAAGTCCGGGTCTACATCCATAGCCCAAGCAAACTTTGACAGGAGAGACTTGTTGAAAATCTGTGAGAATGCATTTCAAAAGGAAAACAAAACAAGAAAATCTGAGACAATGGCAAAACTATGAAGTGTTCGGTAGCTATAACCAACTGGTCAGAAAAAACTTGAAGCGTTAGAAATCCATAGGTTTACTTGCTTCCAATAGGAAAGAAACAAAAAATGCGTAAACCGTCTAAGATAAAACATTTAAAGAAAAAAAAATCCGGTTATGTTTGAGCTCCTCACCTTCTCGATGGGCACCTCATGTCTTTTGCACCACGCAACTGTGATCCTAGGGTCAAGGTAATTGATCTTAGACGTGCCTAAAGCCACAGTTTTTGTGTCCTCTTTGTTCTGCATATCCCGTTTTATTTTCTCAATCCTCGTGTTTATTTGAGCTATCTTTTTCTCTAACCTGTTATAAATGAATTCACAAAAAATATTGAGAAGCAAATCCACAACATAAAATCATGATTTAACAAAGAGAACAAGTAAAATTACGCTTCGGGGCTTAAGTTCCTCTTTTTCTTCCCATCAGCATCTTTCAATGGGGGCTTTCCTTTCCTTGCCCTGTCCAAATCTATTTTCAGCTCTTTCAGCCCGTCCTGCAACCAAAACAAGGAATTTGGCTTAAATATTTCAAGACAGACACACAAACTGAGTACCTAACGCCGTGCCTGCAAGGAAATTCATGCAAAAAAAAATTTTAAATAAAAATTTTTGCAGCATGAACGATAGTAAAGTTACTTCCAGTCCATCACTATATCTTTCATTTCTAAGATCCTTTCTTTTTTCCCCCCCTCTTCTAATGTTTCACATACTATCATTACCTCTAGTTCCTGGAGTTTCTCCATCAATCTCGACATCTGTGCCTCGTGAGATTTGGAAACAGTACGCTGATGATTACAAATGATTGCAACCTGAAACGGAAATTCAGAAATTTTATGATGAAATTACAAAACAGAAGGGGAAGAAAACACAGAAAAACTTGTCTAAGTACAAACTAAGTTCACACCTCCTTGTTTGCTGCATTATAAACAGTCTTTTTCTCTTCCACATCTCCCTCTCTGGTTTCCCGATTTAACTGCGATCAGAAAAAAATAATACAACATTATCAAGGCACTACAATAGCAGGATAGGGACTCCACAAGAACATGCACAGCAGCTGACAGTACAAAGAATACAAAAGTGTGAATTGAACATAAAAGCTATGAATTATCTTACCATTTCATCCAACGTGATAGATGCATTATATGTACGGAAAACTTTTGCTGTAAGCCCATCCATCTGCTCCTTTAGATAAGAATTTAGTTTAGTCGTATCCAGCATGTCAAAAAGAGCATCAGAGGCCTCTTTGTCTGAAGTAATAGATAAAAGATCCTCAGTTGCCTATATTAAATAATCAAAAACACAGTCTACAATCTGAAGAAAATACTCACTGTCCTGGAACTGAACGATTGCCCTGTAAACAAGAGGCTCAACAGAAACAGTGTTTTCATATCTGATTGAATCCTTACCGAGAAAATTAAACTGCATTTAACAAGAGAGAGTCGTTAGTTTGCAGTCATGAAGACTAAATATAGGAATTATGTGGGATAGTTATAAACTTAACAAACTAAAACCATCAAACCTCCAATTTATAGTCGCGCAGTGCTTTTACATTCTCTACTTTTAGTGTGCAACAACCAACAGTATCTGCTTCATCATCATCCTACAGTTGAAATGGGAATGTTAATGATGACTTGAAATAACTGCTAAGAAGAGAACCGACACAATTTCAGCAAAAAATTAGGCAGCTTAAAACAAATGATGAAGCAAACAAGAGCAATAGACATAACAGTTACCACAAATGACAGGTTTAAGTTCCATTCATAACAATACACAAAAAATAAAAAAATAAATAAATAAATCAGAACTGTCACACAAACGGCTACAAGCTTTGCTCAGTCTAAAGTAAAGGAACTCTAGTCTGCACTATGCAACAGATCAAATCCAAGACACTTAACCAGAAAGAATTATAGATCTTTCTGTGAATTCTGATCGCTTTATGTGCTTTGGACAACTTGCCATACCTTCTCATTGCCAGCCCTCAGAGCAAGTTTATCAATAAGATAGGTAGCAACTGCTATTTGCCGCGTCATAACATCTTTGCTTGTAAAGTTCCTTGTGTATTTAGAACGGATTTCGTCTATGGAACCCTGTACAAAATAAAAAAAATAAAAAAAAAGGAGGGAGAACACACGAACAGGAAAGGGTTAGCCCTTTCTCATCCCAAAGTACCGCAATGTCCCTATCAAATCTTAAAAGAAAGTTTCCATGTAAGCACCTTCAGCTTCCTTGCTTTCTCGTATTTCTCCTTGTCACTCTGCCCCTTCAAAGAACTACTAGCTGCCAGAAACACGTACTTGAATTCTTTTGGATTGATTGGATCATTCCAGAAAGCTAACCATGTTACCGTATTGTCATGCCTTACTTCTTTCCATCTGCAAAAAGTAAATTAAATATTCCAATTAAAAAACAGAGAAAGAGGAAAGAGGAAAAAAATACATAATTACATAAGTATCTTTCAAATCAGCAATCCTTTTATTCCATATTCATCTCAACGAGCTTATGATAAGCAAAACCTTTCACCGGGGATTGGGCATTCTGGAATTGGAGCTCCTTTTCCTATGTTAATAGTAACATCGCTAGGACGAATACGTCTCTTCAGCTTTCCTGACTGAAACCACAGTCAATAACAGAAGAAATAAGCTTAAGAATGAGCAAAAATTTCCCAGAAGACCACTGCAACTCTCTAACTTCTTTATAGTATTGATGAAGTGGAAACGTGTAGAATAACCTTTGGATGCTCGCCACGGCCACGGAACAAACCAGGCGGTTCAACTCTGAAATTACCAACCTGAAATGGCAAACACGAGAATAAGAGATATTAAATAAGCATGCCATATACTGAGAAACGGATGAATATGCTATCTGAACAATATTTTTACTAGATCACCCCATGAATGAAAGACTAGAAAGTCAAACTGTTAGCAAGGCACGACAACCCAAAATCCCCAATCATGACCCCTCCATCCCCTACAAAAAGAATCAAAGAAGAGCTTAACCTTCTCTTTAACACCATCAACCATAGCCCACATATACTTCTCCTCTTGTTTCAGTTTGTCTTCCTTCAAGGCCTTCTTCTCCTGCATCAATAGAATTCAATGAGTATTCAAAATAACAGATAACAAACTAATCTAATTTTTCCCTTCTAGAAACTAAAATTGAGATAATAAGCTCACTACTTAATGGAGTGAATTGATAGTGTTTTTTATTAATAGCTCAGGGGTAAATCAACAACGACCCAGATGAAGGCGCCTATTAAGCTTCATATTAACATTCTGAATATAAAACAGGGTATTATAAACAACAAAACTTGGACAGCAGTATAAGCTCAAATCAACCGAATTAAGTTTACTTCCTACATTATCGAATCATGAAAACACATAAATCCACCAACTTACGTCCGTACTCATCTGTTTCTTCTTTTCCTTTTCATCTTCATACCAGTTATAAATTGGGGTGAAATCACAAGCGTCCAATTTCTGGATTACATGACCTTTACCAAGTAACTTGCGCCAATCAGTCCAGAAATTATCTCTAAATGTTTGTTTTTGCACATACTCTGTGTCCTTCATAACTGCAAACATCGATGCAACCTAACAGGAAAGTAAAGAGGCAGGGAAGGTAACCAGTAAGGGAAAAATAATAATGATTGTGATACGAAAAACTGAAATATAGGAATAAGAATAGGAAGGCATGATCGAGAGACAAAGAGACTACCTCCTCTTGTGCAGGAGTCAGGTCAACTGGCTTTCCATTATAGAGTATCTTAACCCCATGTGGATTGTAAGGAGGTGGAAAAATAACACCATTGTGACTCAAGGTAGTCCATTTTTTCTGCCCATCACCGGAGCTGGGAGACACTTTTGTTGACTTGGAATATTTTGAATTTTTTACTGTTTTTTTAAACTTCTTGATCGTTTTCTTCGATGAGGAAGAAGCATATTTTTTAATGTTTTGCTTTGGAGTAGACGCTTTACTAGTTGATGCAGGCGACTTCTTAATTCTCTGTGAAATTGGAACATGGTCGTCATCATCTGCCTTCGATTCAGCCTTGACTGATTCTTGTTTACTTTTCATTAGTGAAGATGAATATGAAAGTTTTTGCTTTTTAACTGGAGACACATCCGACTTCTGCTTATCTAGAGGTCTCTTAGCACTTATGTCCAAAGGTTTTCTCTCATCTTTTACAGTGGAACCATTCAGCTTATTAATAGATGACAAAGGTTTCTTATCATCACAATCACTACGGTTACTCCCTGATGTTCCCGCATTAGACTTCACCTGAAATTTTGATGATAAAGGTTCATCATCTGAGTCTTGAGATTCCTTCTTTTTCACTGGTGGCAATTGTGGGCCAGTGGTATGCTTTCCAGGACCCTTATCTCCAGCAGTGGACTTGCCAGTACCTTTATCTCCCTGGTTTGAGTTCCCCTTGAGTCTAGCACTTAGAGGTTTATCATCATCAGAATCAGAGTCTTCAAAATGAATATCAGATGTAGTAGATTGCCTGATAGAACTTTTTTCTTCCTTAACCGCACTGTATTTATTTTGTCCTGATGAAAACTTTGGCCGACCATCTAATGGCGTTGATGCTCTTCGAATTTCTACTAGAGATTTCTGTGTAGCTGCCTTTGTAGATGAAGTTGAAGCTTTAGGACTAACTAAGGGAGATTTAACTGGTGATGCTTTGCTGGATTGTACCACCTTGCCCTTTTGAGAATAGGAGTTTATACCATTAAGGAAAACCCCATCAGAAATCTGCCTCCCCGACTGTCCATCCAGCCTCTGTGATAAAGGTTTCTTTAGCTCTGAGCTTAATTGATTTGGTTTGGACGCAGTATTTTTCCGCTTAACAATTAAAGGCCCGTCGTCTTCGTCAAAGTCATCAAATAGGCTTTGTTTAGCAGGAGCCTGAACAGCCATTTCCACTAGTATACTGTTTTCGCATATATATATATATATATATATATCAAATCCTGCAGCAAGACGGAATCGAGAACTAAGGCATTTAAAACTAAATTCTATTTCATAAATTGAACCTCAAATACAAATTTCAAACACAAAACTTCTAGCAGGAGCCTGAACAGCCATTTTCCCCTAGTATACTGTTTTCGCATATATATATATCACATCAAGTCCTGCAGAAAGCATAATTTTAAAAGACGGAATCGAGAACTAAGGCATTTAAAACTAATTTCTATTTCATAAATTGAACCTCAAATACAAAAGTTCAATAATAACAACGATATTGAAGTTCTTTTCATTCTTATGGTCAACAACCGCAAGAAACGCTCAAATCTCCTCAAAATATTGGTTTTTCCACCACAAAATCCCAATTTCAAAAAAAATTATAAACAGAAATCACAAAATAAATAAATAAATAAATACACAAACAGAAAACCAGCCATGGAGGAGCTTGGCTTACAGGTGGCTAGAAATTGGGTCGGACGAAGGGCCCGCTTCGTTGCTCGCGACGGCTGAGAGACTGGGCGAACTGGGGCTCGATGGCGGGGATCGCACAGAGGGAGGCAGGACGGCAGGGGATTGGGGCCGAAGGTCACTGATGCGCTCTATCTAGGGTTCTTCTTGTTTTTGTTTTTCATTTTTTTTTTTTTCCTGTTCTCAAAATGCACTTAAAGTTAAAACCAAGACTGAGGAGATGTTTGTTACCTGCCTCAAATATATTTTAAAGTTAATAATTTTTTTTTTATTTTTTAAGGTGATTTTGCATATTTGCCCCTGATTTTATAGGATTTTGATAATTTCTCCTTTTACTTTTAATTTTAACAATTTACTCTGCACCCTAGAATTGTTGCAATGTACCCAATTTTACAAGTTTTGCTTTGATTTTTTGTTAGGTTTAATGAATTGAAAGTTGGAGATAAAAGATTTGTATTCCAATTTAAATTGAAATGTTGCAAATTTTTTGTCAAACAAAACTTTCTATCACCAATTAAATTAAACTATCATCAAAATAAGACACATTGTAATAGTCTTGCAAGTTGAGATTCTCTTAGGTAACCGATTGGGTAACATATTCATAAACCGATTATGAATGATGATTTCGGTTAATTGTTAATATCCAATATCAAACATGCACGAGCGTTCTTTTATTTAAGTTCCCGAATTATTAATCTTAGTTATATGTATGAATGAGTTAGCGTTCCCAATTATTCAAACTATTATTCCCCAAAAATGTTAAGTTATTTCTTTTTTAATTACTCACACCCATTAGTAAATAAAAAGACGTAACTGTTGAGAATGATGTCCTAAAAATATGAGATGTAATAAAATATTTATTATTTATTTGATAAAAGAATTTATTCATTATTTTATGTGCATATATTATTGAATATTTTATAAATATCTCTGAAAATTTCGTGATTATTTATGTGATCTTAAATATTGTATATAAATGTTATATGCGAGAGGATAATATTTAAAATTAATAATCAAAACGATGTTCATAATGAATTTAATTAAAGTTCAGAATCTTTAATTAAAACATTACTAATACATGTCATTTCTATTCAGAATGAAACGGTGTTATCTGCACTGTTAATATGGTGAAATATTGAATGAGTCTATTACGCATAATAAGATTATGTGAAACAGAGACACATACACAATATGAATTTATGATAATTTCCATAAAGTATAGAAATTCTAATTGAGTCTACTAATGGTCATATATAGAATTATCTTAATCTTAAGTTATTAGCATACTCCTATTTGTGGATTTATATATTTTGATTTACTTGGTATGGATTCCGATATCATGAATCTTATTCCTTGTATTTTAGAGACATGATGAAGTGAGTAGCCGAGAATGTTATTATACAAGATGGAATCCATTCCTTCTTGAGAAAGAAGTAAATAAATAATTCTCTTAATGATTGTTTCGGTACTTGGACAAGTAGGAGCTCCGATTCATGAATTTATTTTATGAATCACTGTTCATTAGAGAATTAATGGTACTTAAAGATAAAGTTATAATTAGAGAGATTAACGGATTTCACCTAGCTCTAATTATGAATTATTTATGGAGGATTGATCTATATGTAATGACTATATCAAATGGACACATCATAGTTTAAAAGTAATTTATATCTATAATTATGAGAGTGTAATTCCCAGTTTATAATGGAGTAATTTTTAGAATTACTTATTAATTTTATTAAAGCTCAAAATTATAGGTCCATGCGTCGTCCTTATAATCTTACAAGACACTAAGGGTAAAATGAAAATTTTAGAATTATGGAATTCTAAAATAAAACGCTCATGGATAATTATTTCAGAATTAATTATAAATTAAATAATGTAATTTATTTAAGTTTAAATTTAAATTTTGGAGTACACATGTGAAGGTGTTCACATAGTGTGAACACCCAGAATAGTGTGCATCCAGTTGCTTGCTCTCAAAGTTATCCAATTGACTTATTTGATAAGTTGTCTAATTTAAACTCAAATTGATTTAAGTTTGACTTAAATTGAAATTTAAATTTGAGTCAAAATTGGATTGCAAGCTAAATACAAAATTTTACCCTATTCTCTAGCTGCAATTGTTCCTCCTTGTGGTGGCCGGCCAACATGTGGATAAGGGAGAGTGGATTTTTTTTTTTCAAAATCAAATTAGAAGTGAGAATAATTATCAAGTTTTATTTTAGAGATAAAGATTAAACTTGTTCTAGGAGTATGACACTACTCTATAAATAGGAGATTGTAGAAAATTAGAGAACACAATTTTCGCTCTCTCCTAGCTAGTAGGGCTGTAAGAAATCACCCTGAACCCGACGAACCCGGCCGAGCCGAGCCGACCCTACTCGAAAATCACGGGTTTCTAATTTTTTATTTAATTTTCAGTTTTAATTATGCCTAACCCGCACTGCGCGGGTAGGGGCGCGGGGTGGGGTTACATGAACCCGAGGTAACCCTACCCGGCCGAACATGTTCAAAGTAGGTAAATGAATGTCCAACACTTCAAATTCTTACTTTCATAAGTTTATGGACTTTATGCTTTTAAACTATTAACTTATTTATGTTTTGGATTCACGGTTTGTGTAAAAAATGCTTGTATGCCATAGTTGTTGAATTAGGACATTCTTTATTTATACTGGAAGTGAGTGTTTTAATTGTTCACCTTGCATTTAGACTCTCTCTTGAAGGAAAGACATGTTATGTTTGATAATGATTTATTTTATAACAAGCACAGATTAATTGACTAAAAATTGATTAAAATTGATGAAGTCATAGATTAAAATTGGTTTTCACCAAGCCGAGTAACTCGACCCTACCCGAGGTCACCCGAAAGGTTGCGGGTTTGTAGACTTAAGAGAGTGTCACGGCCTAAAATTTTCTCAACCCGCACTGGTCGGGTAGGCTCAATTTTTCAGCTCAACCCTACCCTACCCGGCCGATTTACACCCCTACTAGCTATAGTGGCCGAATTTTATAGAGTGAGGAAAGAAAAATTTTTCTCTCAAATTTCACGTCGTGCATGTGTTGGTGTTCGTGAAAAACTTGAGTGTTTATTTGCTAATCTTGTTTTGTTTCAGGTGTGTTCACACACACATCTTCGTAGATTCTAAGAATTGACAAGGAAGATTCAGGTGTTCTAAACTAGCTTGGTGCAAGGAACGTTCGTGATCAAAGAACTCAAGTTATCGACCTAATCGTTGACTAGGTAAATGAATTAATTTTATTAATTTATTCGTGCATAAATTAATGTTATCTATAGAGTATCTCAAAATTTTATGAAAATTTTTGTTATACTCAATCCGTAAGATACACACTTCCGCATCTAAAATCGTTTCGAAAACCAATAATAACTAATTAGTAAATTCATGTCGTTCGGCTTGGCCCACTTCAAAATATGGTCGACCCAGCCCGACTAGAAAGCTAGCATGGGGTTGGCAAGGAAAAAAATAGAAAAGCACGGACTAAGCGAAGCCTGCTCGGTTAGGTTTTTTGGGCCTAAAACCTTCGGCCGAAGAGTCAAGTGATGGGCTGGCCAGTTTTACCCGATCCAAATTGATAGCTTTATACATAATATATAGATGTGAGTGTACCAATCCCTTAAAATTGAGATCCAACCACAATTTTACAACCAAATAAATAAAACACAAGTTCTTCATATTCAAACGGATTTAGTTAAAAAACTAATTCTATTGAGGTCTAGATGAATGTATCCACAATACATAGGTGTCTCTACATTATAATCAACATTATAATTATTCAAATAAGTTCATTAATAGACAACACCATAATCTTATCAAAATAAAGTGTCCAACTTTTTTTTTTCGGTTAGGAACTTTATAGATTTACAGTAACTCTTTAAATTTATATTCTGCATATGAACACTTCATATACATAATTAAAGAATATTAACTAGTATTGGATCGTTATGATGTTTCACTCACAAATATAAATATAAACGATTATCATAGGAAAAAATAAAATGTATACAAATAATATCAAAAAGTCAAAAAAGAAGTTTGCATAAATTGCTCAATAAACATTGTATTGTAACATATTCAGCTTTTAATGAATTATAAGTAATGTTATTTTTAAAAGTTTAAATAGCATGTGCTTTAATAAGCTTATGAATTATAAGTAATGTTATTTTTAAAAATTTAAATAGCATGTGCTTTAATAAGCTTATTATGCATTGTTGCTTACTTATTACTCATACAATTCTTTTGTATTACACTTAGTTATTATTATTATTATTATTTTTACTTATTGGGATTTTTATGTTTTTGAGCTTAGGTTTCAAATTTTAAACCTATGCTAGCAAAGTAATGAGAAAATTTTACACTCCACCATTCATGTGCACTGTTCTTAAGTTTTACTCTTTCTCTTAATTGATGCCTCTTTAACTAGTTATTATAAGGGATATTTACATTTTTTTACCTTATATTTTAGGTTTATTTAAAAATTATACTTTCAATTTTTTATCTCATTAAATGTATACCTTCAAATTAGATTTAATATCCAAATTTATGCCTTAGCATAATCAACCCTCGATTATAACTCTAGAAACACCTAAAATACACTTGAATAAAAAGATAAGAAAAGAGAAAAAAAAAAACAACTAAAAAAACTATAGACTTACAGTTTTACCTTAAAAAATATGTGCAAAATACCATTAAAATTGTTTTTTTTTTT